AGAAGAATAAATAGGTCTATTGATAATAGAATTCTGAAAATTAGGGGCATCTGGGTGGCTCAGTGGGTTAAGCCTCTGCCTTTGGCTCAGGTCATGATCCCAGGGTCCTGGAATCGAGCCCCACGTCGGGCTCTCTGCTCAGCGGAGAACCTGCTTCCTTTTCTCTCTCTCTCCTCTCTCTCTGCCTGCTTCTCTGCCTACTTGTGATTTCTGTCTGTCAAATAAATAAAATCTTAAAAAAAAGAATTCTGAAAATTAAGAATTAAGTGGTTAGACTCATTCTAATGACGCTAAAATGAATGATAAAGTGACAACCACTGAGCCAATATAAATGCAAATAGGAAACTCTTAAATATCTAGTAGAAAGTGCTCAAACATCTCTTTGTGCTTTTGAAAACAGTGTTTGATGAAGGAAATAATGGTAACAGTGATGAACTATTTAATAAATGATGCTGGCATAATGGCTAAGGAAACGTGGCTAATTTTTCATCTTAAAATGTATTCTAAAATAAATTTGACTATGCATCTAAAATAAATTCTAGATAAATATAAAAATTTAAAGCATTATAAAGAAGGCAACACAGAAAATACGTAACAGATTCACAACAGTGTAAGTCACCAAATGCAGTAACGTTGCAGAACCAGTTGATAGTTTTTACTACAAACCCTGTTTTCCTTTCCTGTGCTTCCTTTGGCTTCCATGAACACACTGCTCTGATTTTTCTCCTACCACTTTGGCTACTACTTCTCTAATTCCTTTGCAGGATTATCTATCTTCCTCTGGAGGCCATTATATGTTTGAGTTCTTCAGGGCCCATTCCTTCTCTATGCTGTCTCCCAAGGTATTTGCTTTCATACCCATGGCTCCAATTACAACCTTTACGCAGGTAACTCAAATTTAACTCTAGCTCAACCATTTCTTACTTATCAGTATTAGTCAGGATTTCTGAAAGAAATAGGGTGACACACTCAAAATGGGTAGTTAAGGAAATTTTAGTTAAAAAATCATTAACAAAGGGTTTGGGGAAAGTGACAAAGGATAGTGGTACAGTGTCTCAAGAAGCTATTACTGCCTTAGGCTTAAAGAAACAAGGGGATAGAAATTGTTACCTGATGAGAGACAGAGAGAGAAGAGAAAGAAATGGGAGGAAGAGGGACAGGAGAAGGGAGAGGCATAAAAAGGAGAGTTTGGAGGAGACAGGGCAGAAAGGGGAGGGAAGAAAAGGGGGCCGGAGAGGAAGAGAGAATGCAGGATGCAGATAATAAGGAATAAATACTCCACTTTCACTCTCTTCCTTCAATCTTTGCCTGTACCTCCCATGCACTATACCCAGCTAGGAGCTAGGTGTTCAGGTAATGTGAAATTGTAACGCATTCCATACAGCTCAGTCTCTTTGGAGACAGAGAATAGAGAAGGGTAGAGAGTGACTCTAGATGGGCAAACAGAAGACACCTACCTAATCTTCACCCTCTATTTAGCTTCTTTGCTAGGACATCCATCCTATGGGTATTTCACATGCAACAGGTCCAAAATTGAACTCACAAACTGCCCATTCCACACTCTCCCCTCTCAAAAACCAAACTAAGAACAGCAGAAACCAAACTGGTCCTCTTTCAGTGTTCTCTAGGTCATCCAGTGGTACCAAGGTCAGTCCTGTATTCTTGTAACCATGTAGGAATGGAGTGGAGTGGGGCAAGGATAGGAGTAAACAAATCACTCATGTGGCTATTCCACTAGTCCAGGCACAAGTAATGATAAAACAGAATAAGAAAGTGCTGGTAATGATGGAGGAAAGTGGATGAAGTGGACACACTGAAGAGATATTTAGAAGACAAAATTCATAGGACTTGATATTGGATTGGATGTTGGAGGCAAGGGTAATACGATTGTCAAAGATGACACTTCCAGCAATTTCCTAGAGATTTTAGGAAGAAGGAACAACTCCTTAACATGGACTTCTTGGCCCTACATGGTCAGTATCCTCCACCCCTCACTCTCTAACCCCCATTCTTCATCTTCTACCAGGCCCCTCTCAAGGTATGGGCTGTACTACATTCTTTCAATCCTTCATATTGTTTGTGCTTGTCCCTGAGCAGGAACTTTGCACCTGCTATTTCCACTGCCTGTAACGTTCTTACCTAGCTACCCCATTTCTCTATCATTCATAGCTCAAGCGCAACTTCTCCGGGGAAGCTTCTCTTGACTTCCTTAAATAGATCTAATCCTATTAAAGTTCTCATATGTTTTGTCTTTCCTTTTGTAGGATCTATCCATTAACAGTTCATACTCATGTGTGTGGCTTTTCAATTAATGTCTAACCTCTCAATCCTCCTCCAGAATACAAACTCCATGAGGACAGAGAGTATGTCTTTACTGGCTCTTTCATATAGTCTATTAGTGTTTGGCACCTTGTAGTTCACATATATACATTCTTGAATGGATGAATGAATGAGTGAATGAATGGATAAATGCAATGGAATACATCAGAAAGAAAGGCACTGATTGATTTAATAGACTTAAATTATAATCTTCTGTACATTAAACAGGAGTAAATGATAAGTGAGAAATTAGAGACATATTGGTAATATTAAGATTGTATCCTCAGTAGAGTTCTTACCACACCAAAAATAAAAGTACAATAGGAAGTGACAAAAACAAAACAAAACAAAACAAAAAAAACAAAAAAACAATCCCATAGAATAAAAAGGGTTATGACAACTTCTCACTGGAAAAATCAAAACACCAAATCATACTGACCTAAATAATCAAGAAATGTATAATTTCACATAGCTAGAAGGACAGGATGGCTTCTCCCGAGATCATAAGATGATACCCAGGAAATATTGAGAGCAACATGCTTTCTTGTTCACATCTTTAAGAAATGCAGTCGCTTTCCTGGCAATGAAATACAAGTCCTTCTTTTCAGCATTACTGAGTCAATTTAGGACCACGCTGCATCAAACTGCTGTCAGAGGAGTGCCACGTTCTAATTTTGAGCCATTCACTAACTAGCAAGAAAAATTGGATTGCCATGCTTAGTTTATTTTAATCAGGACCCATTCCTGCACTGGGGTCAATTCCAGAAACCACACTGCTGTTGAATCTAATACAATGTCCATTAATATTGGCCACATAACCATAGGAAATGGTCAACCTTAGGAGTGAGGAAGATACAAGAAAATAAAAACAGCAGCAAGGCATCATTGTTCGACTCCAAAATCTAAAATTTGTTTGCTTTTTAAAAAATTATTTTACTTATTGAACATGGGTTATAAATTGACTTAACCTTTCTGGAGGGCAATTTGGCAATCTACAAAAAACATTTCAAACATAATAAATTTGGGAATGTATACGTGTGGGTGGAAATAAGGAGGAAACCCAGAAATGTTCTTGTGGTTGTCACTAGCTGGTACGTTTATGGGTGCTTTTTATTTTCTTTTAAATGTTTTTCAAATATTATTTAACAAGCCTAATTTCATTTGCTTAAACACAAAGAACAGAAAGTGACCTGTTATTTCAGAACATGGCTAACTTTCAGTCACGAATATCATCTGGAAGCTTAAGTACTAGTAGAAAAAAGTAGTTTCAGGGATTCTTTTGCTATCTTAAAATGATGGAAAGAAAGTAGTAATCTGTTTGAATAAAAATCTGAGTTATGGAATTCTCTGCTTCTGGAATTCCAGTTTAGTCCAACTGGTCTAGAATCCAGGGAAAAAAAAGACAAGGCATAAAAATCCTGCCAAAAGATAAATAGTTACTACTGAACATTTAGCATAAAGCTTGTTTTCCTAATTCAACCTCTAACTCAACTCCATAGCCCTAGTGAGTAAACAGTTGAGGCCACATGACCAGATTTAGCTTGACTTACGGTCACTTTCATTGAGAAGAATAGGGACATTTAAAAAAATATGAGTGGGCACCTTCAGCTCAGGATCTCAAGGTCCTGGGATAGAGCCCCGCATCAGGCTCTGTGCTCAGCAGGGAGCCTGCTTCCCCACTCTCTCTGCCTGCCTCTCTGCCTGCTTGTGATCTGGGTCTGTCAACTAAATAAATAATCTTTAAAATAAAAATTTAAAAAATATGAGCATAGGAAAACATCTGAATTCACTTTCAAGTTAAGGGTCTGAATGTCTAGGATAAAGGAATGTATGTTACTGAACTGGGATTTCCAACAGATATTTAACAAAAGGGGAAGATCTTAATTAAATCAGTTTTATTCAGTGATGATGTTCTTTCTCCAGATTTATTTTGATAATTTCTCCCATTTATTCTCAGACTATTCCCTTCTCTTCCTGCCCCTACCAACACCTCTCAGAATAATCTTGGACAAGTCATTTAACCTCTGCTGTATCTTTTCTGAAAACAGGCCTCCGTCATAGATTTCCCTCTGTCTAAACATCTCTAAATTTCATTGAAGCGAAAGATGAGCAAAATAGCTCTCTCAGTTTAGGATTGCCCTTAAGCTAATAAGAGAGAATTTACTGTATTTTACACAGTCCTTCTTTTAGAGACTTAAAAACAGATCTTCCATTTAAATAAAAAGGGAATGTGCCAGCAACAGATCCTACCCCATCAGTCCCCCAGCAGTTACAGTGAGCCAGCCGTTCAGCCAGTGCCTAAACTGGCCATGAACAGACAAGTGAAGACAGCAGAAAGGCAGGAAATGGGGTTAGGTTGATTTCCATCTATTAGCAGCAGCTTAAACTGGCGTGCTGGGCAGCTCTGTCTCCCATTGGCTACAGCTGCTGAGAGCAGCAGGATGAGGGTTGACCTATATCTGTCGGGTGTAAGTCAAACCCTGAATCTGTAGCAAACGTCAGTGTTCCAGAACGCCAAGTTTAACTTACGCCCAACCACATAACAATATTTTTATCAGGAACTGTGATACACTCCACCTGCAAAGAACTTACATCTGTGGGTCTCCCCCTCAAGAGCCCCCCAACCCGGCAGATTGTTTTGCTTTCTTTCTCACTGCCTCTCCCTCCTGTCATGCTCTTACCAATTTTGTCCTTCTGCTTCTGTGTCATCCTCTGGCTGAGAAGGGATGTTATGGTCACAGCTGTGCTCCTTCTAGCAATCACAGGGACACCGGCCTTTCACTGCCTGCCCCAGTTTCCATCTGACCAAGGCGTGCCCCTGCCTCCCCACTGCACTTGTTACCCCAGACTGCCCCTGCTTCCAGGCCTCGTGTGCCCTTCTGGGCCACCAAGAGTTTCAGAATGTGTCAGTTGCTAATACAACTGCAGCTGTGGACAGAAATATAGTATCAACAGCATTCAAAACATGGGTCCTCCAGTTCCTACCCAGTAAATGTTTACTAGATTTTGAAGGTCAATTTCTTATTTTTTTTTAAGAGAGGGTTTAATTATTTGGACATTTTTATTTTCCTAGCTTAGGGAATAAGCTACTTGAACTTTTCATTTATGCAACTATCATCCAAATGCGGCCAAGCTCCTCTCCCTTTGTCTTGGGTCTCAGTGGTGTATGCGGTTTTGAGGCTCAATCAGTACGTGTAGGTATTTCCGCACACTGACATCCCAACTCGAGACTTAACCTGGTCAGCTCTGCCTTCACACTAAAGCATCAGTACACTGCAGACTTCTATCTAGAATGCAGAAGTTGCTCTCTGATACCTATTAATTTCTTCACTGACATCCTGCAGTAACAGGAAAGAAGCCCAGGTGATGGAAAATTATTCTAGCAGCTCAGGTCCCCAAGCACATAAGCCACATCACAGTAATTTGAGATGGAAAAGACCTATTAAGTCATCCCACTGATCCTCTGAGGGCATGTGGTGGTTTTTCCCCTCTCCAATACGCTCATCTACTTTTTAGTGCCTTTTCCAATTGTAAATGGCAAAAGTGATGGGGCTTCCACACCTCCCAGGGGATAGGGGAGCATAGTTTATAATAGATCTCTCCATTAGGGCATGAGACTTGCTCAGCTGCCTAAATCATCTTTGTTTTAACTTTCGTTTCCATCATTCGTCCTCCTGTCCCCTTGGACCACACTAAATAATTTCTCTCCATCCCTGCTATTTACACCCTCCAAGTACTTGGGGCCAATGAGCCAGTCCCGTTAGTTAGAGGTGGTGGTCATGCTGAGAGACTTGTCTCTTTCATCTTCCTCTGAAGGCAGTCCCTCAGGCTTATAAATCATATTTGTTGCCCTTCAATGAAATCCACCAGTTTCTCAATAATTTGCCTCATTTCTTTGTCATTCACTCTGGGCAGGAAATTCCCCTTTGTCTCTGTTGCCACAAAATCAGATGATAGCAGGATCTTTGCTTACAGAAAACAGAGCAGATCCCTTCAGCCACTAGGCATCTTCCTACCCCCAGGATACCAGAGTCATCAGTTTTTATCTTCAGCTCTTACTTTACGCGGGGTGTGGGACTACCGTGTCCACAGCCTTAGGTGTGTACACAGAGATAGGAAGAGTTGATCTGTAATCCATCCAGCCAGCTTTCCGTGTGGCGTATTTAGTTAACGCCCATTAGCTGTTTAAATCATAGCTCGCTGCCCATCTCAATTCCCAACTGGAAGAGCTCCCCTGAATAGCTCCAAGAGAATGTTAACCTCCTCCTTTCCATTAATACCCCCACACTTACTATATAAAGGACGACATCAGCCTCATCGGACACCTTTGCTGGAGGGCGAGTTCCTTTGCTAGCAGAGAAGTGGCATAGATCCCTCTAGCTCAACCAAGTGTGAATGCAATTTCCTGGCAAACCAGGAAATCTGGGACTGGGATTTGTAATGCAAGGGTCGACAGTGTTCAGCCAGCCCCCTGTCTACCTCTCCAGTTAAAGGTTACCCTCAGCGCTAAAGCACCAAATTTAATAAGGTCTTTCCTAACATGCTCAATGCTCATGTTTATGCGATCATTAATAGTCATCATAGAGCTTTACAAACGGTTTTCCTCCAAATACACCAACCTTTTCAATAGTCAACCACTTTGCGAAGAAGGTATTTTACCAGGGAGGAAATGGAGGCTTACAGAGGCTCCACTACCCAGTTTCACAAATAGTTAGTCAATTCTCCTTTCCATTCCCTTTTGTTCCTCCCTCTGAAGTCATTACAAAGAATGCTACTCTCTGAGCAGTATGGGAAGAAGTGCTAACTTTCTGCAGGTTCCTGAAGTCACTGAAACACTGCCCATCGCATAATGTTTTTCTGTGTGCTTAGTTGGCAAAAGTACGGTAACCAGACATCATCCGGTTTGAAAGGAGTCCCATGGTTTATCAGTAGGATAATTCACTTGTTATTTGATGACACAAAGAGTATATTAAAATTTATAAGACATGGCCTGCTATCTCTTTCTAAACAATAATGTAATGTTATTAGGCATGAGCTAAAAGTGAGCTTCTCTTCAAATACCAGTTCAGACCTTAAGAGTATCTTGTTTTTCCCACAAAGCTGATAAAATTACATACACCGAAGACAGAGGAGGAAAGAACGATATGTCAGAAAATATTAACACGATTTGAGAAAACAAAGAACCTTAATAATCCTGACATTTTTTGAGTAATAGAAGAAGCAGAAATACAATTTTCTACCAAATACGTGGTAGGAGAGGCATGGCATCCTAAAACAGTGCTAACCACTAAGCAAAAAAAAAAAAAAACAGATATTTTATTGCATCACTTATTTTCAAATAGGGCTTATCAATATATTTAATTTGGCACAAACACGGTTATAGTAGGATAAAGATATCTACTGAAGGGGGTTTCTGCATTAAAGGGTTGAAGTAGCTTCCAAACAAGTTTTCAGGTCCAGCATTTTGAAAAATCAAGATTAAGAAATTTATCTATTGAAGTAAATTGCTCCTTCTGTGGCCTGGCCAGAGAGAGCAGATGCGTACAATGCATAAAAACATAAAGAAGTTGCCATCTCTCAAGACAGAGGGCAGAATTATTCTTTTTGCATCAGTTTGTGGGCCCTTGCTGTCTCATGTATGACTGTATATTGTTTTGGTTTAAAAAGACAAAACAAAAAACCAGTTCATCCATTTCTCCCATTTCCCAGTCCCTGCCTCCTACGACCATCAATCTGTTCTGTTTCTATGAGCTTGGTTTGTTTTGCTTCATTTTAGATTCTACATGTATGAGAGATCATGCAGTATTTGTCTTTCTTATTTCACTTATCCCTCAAGGGGTATTTCATTTTATGTCCTCAGGGGCCATCCACATTATTGTGAACAGCAAGATTTCATTCTTTTTATGGCTGAATAATATTCAAATTGTATATAAACAACACAATATCTGCATCCATCCATCGGTGGACACACAGGTTGTTTCCAGATCTGGGCTATTGTACCTTATGCTGCAGTGAACATGGAAATGTATATATCTCTTCAAATTAGTGTTTTTTCTTTAAATAAAGACCCAGAAGCGGAAGTGCTGATTATGTGATAGTTCTAATTTTTTGAGGAAGTTCCATGCGGCTTTCCACAGTGGCTACACCAGTTTCTGCTACCGCCGACAGTGCACAAGTGTTCCTTTTTCTCCATATTCTAATACTCTTATTTCTTGTCTTTTTGATAATAGCCATTCTAGCAGATGTGAGGTGATAGCTCATTGTGGTTTTGATTTGCCTTTTCCTGATGATTAGTGAGTTTGAGCATTTTTTCATGTACCTGTTGGTTATCTGTAGGTCGACTCTGGAAAAAAAAAAAAAAAAGTCTATTCAGATCTTCTGCCCATCATTAGCTGGATTCTTTTTTTTTTTTTTTTTTTTTGGCACTATTGAATTGTAGGAGTTCTTTGTATATTTTGGATATTAGGTCTTTTATCAGATTATAATTTGCCAATATTTATTCCTATTCAGTAGGTTATCTTTTCATTTTGTTGATGGTTTCCTTTGCAGTACAGAAGCCTTTTTAGGTTGATGTAATCACACTTGTTTATTTTTGCTTTTGTGGCTTTTGCTTTTTGGTGTCAGATTAAAAAGAAATCATCAGGGCGCCTGGGTGGCTCAGTGGGTTAAGCCGCTGCCTTCAGCTCAGGTCATGATCTCAGGGTCCTGGGATCGAGTTCCGCATCAGGCTCTCTGCTCGGCAGGGAGCCTGCTTCGCTCTCTCTCTCTCTGCCTGCCTCTCTGTCTACTTGTGATCTCTCTCTGTCAAATAAATAAATAAAATCTTTAAAAAAGAAAAAAAAAGAAATCATCACCAAGAACTATATCAAGGAGCTTATCACCTATGTTTTCTTCTAGGAGTTTTATGGTTTCAGGTCTTATGTTCAAGTCTTTTATTCATTTTGAGTTAATTTTTGTGTATGGTGTAAGACAGTGGTCCAGTTTCATTCTTTTACATGTGGCTGTCCAGCTTTCCCAGCATCATTTATTGAAGAGACTGTCCTTTTCCTATTGTATATTCTTGGCTCCTTTTTCATAAACTAATTGACTATATATGCATGGGTTTATTTCTGGAGAATCTGTTCTGTTCTACTGAGTGATATGTCTGTTTTTACACCAATACCATACAAAGTTTAAATTATTCTGCTTTGTTCTTCTTTCATGATTGCTTTAGCTACTTGGGTTTTTTTTTTTTTTTTGAAGTTCCATACAAATTTTAGAACTGGTTGTTCTGTTTCTATAAAACACCACTGGAATTTTTATAGGGATTGCATTGAATCTATAGATGGCTTTGGGTAGCATGGACATATTAACAATGTTAATTCTTCCAATACATGAGCATGGTAGATCTTTCATTTGTGTTGTCTTTGATTTCTTTAGTCAAGGTCTTATACAGTTTTTTTTTTTTTTTAAGATTTTATTTATTTGACAGAGAAAGAGAGAGAGAAAGAGCACAAGCAGGCAGAGTGTCAGGCAGAGGGAGAGAGAGAAGCAGGCTCCCTGCTGAGCAAGGAGCCCAACACAGGACTCGATCCCAGAACCCTGGGATCATGACCTGAGTGGAAGGCAGCTGCTTAACCAACTCAGCCACCTAGGCATCCCAAGGTCTTATATAGTTTTTAGTTTAGTTTCTTTTACCTCCTTGTTAAACTTATTCATAAATATCTTTTTTCTGATGCAGTTGAAAATGGGCTTGTTTCCTTAAGTTCTCTGATAGTTCACTATAGTGTGAGGAAACACAGCAAATTTTTATCTATTGATTTTTGTATCATGCAACTTCATTGAATTTGTTTATTCCAACAGTGTCTTGATGGACTTTTTAGGGTTTTATACAGCCACAGTATCCTGTCATCTGCAAATAGTGATAGTTTTACTTCTTCCTTTCCAATTTGGATGCCTTTTATTTCTTTTTCTTGCCATTTAATTGTTCTGGCTAGGACTTCCAGTACTATGTTGAATAAAAGTGGTGAGAGTGGACATCCCTGTCT